ATGAAACCATTTGGTGCTCCTTCATATGCTAGACTTCGCACTGTTTACCCCTGGAGATCTCTAGGTGACTCGTTGTTGGTTGACCTTGGTGGAGGCAAGACATACCTCAGCTTCAAATGAATTCCGCAACAATTATTAATTTGGCAAGTTGTAGGAAATGGGTATATTGCATACCAGCTTGCTGAAGAAGCTCCGGGATTGAAAATCATGATTCAGGACGTAGAGCAGGCAATTGCCGAGGCCAAGGAAGTCTGTCCTGATAGCATCAAACCTAGGTGCTCCTTCCATGTGCATAACTTTTTTGAAACTCAGCCTGTTGTTGCGGATGTCTACTTCATGCGCATGGTCCTACACTTCTTAAACGACGAAGATTGTGTGAGGGTCTTGAAGTGTGTCGTTCCGGCGATGAAACCTGGTGCACGCATTCTAGTCGCCGAGAGTATCTTTCCTGTTCCTGGAGATTTGCCGAATCCTCTTCACAGATACGTTTCTATTTTGGTATTATGATTCTCTCCTTCTCTTCCCATGAGTCACCAGTATAGTAGGAAATACTAATTTGCCACAGAATTGGAACATGTCCGCTCTCCTGAATGCCAGGGAGAGGACCTTCGCTGAGTACGAGGAGATCTTCTACGCAGCTAATAGGCGCTTTAGGGTCAAGCAGTGGGGAAAGCCTGGCGGTCCTGCTGCCTCTGGTAAGGCCTCACTCTACTCCCCAATTTTTTTCAATCCATGGAGTTTGTAAGAAAAAGCTAATTTTCTAAAAATGGAATATACAGAAATCTTAGAAGCTACTCTTTGCGATGGCAACATGTGATGTAGCTCAAACTCTAAAGGAGAAACTGGTCTTGGACCCTTTCATTCCGCAAATCCTGTATATATACCATCCACGGGGCACAAACCGCAATAGCAACGTTGAATATGGGATTTTGTTTATTTCCGGATTGGTTGGGTTTCTTTTGGCCAGCTTTCACCTATTACTCATTAAAACCAATAAAAACTTTTTTCTCTCCCTTGGACCCTGCTTTTCCCATCATAGTTTTCCCATTCCTTTTTCTCCAATTTTTATAGTATTGATCGTCATCAGATTCTTTGATAAATATAAATTCAGTAATCTAAGGTAGCGAACTAGTCAGTATCACAAATATTGAAATCACATTACTTCCACGAAACGGCACGATCAAATCCGGACAGTACGATAGACGGTGAACACTTCTAAAGTGATACGGCGAAGGTACAGTTCAACATCATACCCGCAGAGCAACCTACTATACCTCTCGAGTGGGTGGTACTAATATCATAATATCTCGCGGAAAGCAAAACACAAAATAGATAATATTTAAAGGCAGGACAGGAAATGTGACCGAGCTTTTCAACTCGAAGGGCCTATCACGGTTCATACAGACTATACGGTAGTATCTAATTGAATTTAGCAGGATTACCGGAAACGGCAAAGCTCCGGGTATATTTCTTCGACAATGAATCTAGCTATCTGACCATCTTTACCCATCACACGCCTCACATCTGTGAGTTTGGGATAGGGATAGTTGACGGTATCGTGGATGGAAAAAATATTCCCTTAATTTGCACTCCTGAGGCTATTCCAGCCCGACTTGTCCACATCTTGCATCCATCAACTAGAAATCTTATACAGACAGGTGTAGTCTACGAGTACCCTCTCGCGTGTGCGGGAAAACAACATGATAATATTATTATGTAGCACTCATTTCAAGCTAGCTGAGTAGCTACCTTGGGCCGACGGCTACTAGTAGAATGTATACCACTACAATTTAGGTCACCCGTTAGTCATCTCGTGCCATAGACGCGGGGCCTACTCTTGCACTCGCCACAAGAGAGGGAGAAAAGAAATACTCAGCACTAAGGTACTAACTTTTTACTACTTCCTGCGCTATGACATCTGACATTATGATATTTAAAAACCGGTGCCGGGGGACCGACATCTATACAGATGTAATTCTATTCTATCGAACGCCGGACCCACTTTACTGTTCCAGCAAGACTCGGAGTAAAAAGAATTTTTTAAGAGAAAGGGAAGGAAAGGAAAACCAAAACCAAAACGAAAGCTTTGGAATCTAGCTAAGTAGGTGGATGGGCAGGTTACAGTAAAGTAGAGTAAAGTGAAAGAAAGCCCAAGAAAATCAAAAACAAAAAAAACAAGAGGTCACAAGCCTGCCGTACTCTGTAAATCTACGCCATCCAATGTATCCGTCTAGCCATTTAATGAGTTCCGTTTGGTCCAATTCCAGTCAGCCATAAACCCACACTAACCTCCCAGAACGGGGAAAAACGAGAGAAAAGAAAATACAATCTCCCCGCTTCCTTCTCACCCCCTCCCTCTCACCTCGGCTATCATTCACGAGACTAATTTAGAGCAATCATCGGCACGGCCTGGACCCTCAGCTCCGCCTCTCCCAATTGCGCCCGCCACTGCGTTGGCACCAGCCTTCTTCTCTGCCCTCCTCCTCTCCATCCTCCTTTTCTTAGCCGCTGCCCTTTTGAACCTGAGCTTCTCCAAAACTTCTTGTTCGGGGGTATTTTCGGTTCCAGGTTTCGGGGCATCGTTAGCGGTTGTTGTGCCCCCGCCGCCGGTGGCAATGTCAACGCCAGGAGCGCTAGCAGCAGAAGCGGTGACGGGAGCGTTGTCAGAGGCACTGTTGTCTTGACTGGAATTCTGTTGGTTGTGGAGGTTAGGCTGCTTGGTAGTAGCCTGGCCTGCAAGTACAGCCATGGAAGTGGCAGGAATGCAATTGCTGTCGCCGCTCTTGCCACTTGTGGATTCCTTAGTTTGTGGAGTGCTCTGATCAGAACACTTTCTGCGACTGCTCCCAAACAAAT